TCAGCCCCTCCGTCGGGCACCGCGGCAGGGGTGCGCAGCCACACACAGCAGTTGGAAAACCCTGGAAATGGAAACTCCCAAACCAAACCCACACCTGGGGAACAACAGGCTGTCCCACACCGTGTAAGGATAAAGATCAAACCTGCCTTTTCCCCTGGTTTTGGCCACCAGTCTTGTGATGATGGAGCCAACCTGCTCTGTGCCAGACTAAGAGTGTCAGGACCTTGGTACTGCTCTCCAGACAGGCACAGGTCTGTACAACTGCACTTCCAATATGGGAAATAGCTCTCAAAACCAGGAATCCCTTTCCCACCCCAGCAGCAGAGCAGCTCAGCTGCTTCCTCTCAGGTACCAGGGCTCATCCCTTGGCGGTTGCCCTCAGCCTGAGCAACAGCAGGACACAAAGACCTGAGCCAGACCCCAAGGCAGGTCCCCAGCAGGGCTGGTTGGCCGCTGTGAAGTCCTCACATCGATGCCAATTCAATCAGCAGAGCATCAGCGGGTCCTGCTTCACCCCCCATCTCTCAGGCCTCTCCCTCAGGGCTGCTTTTCCTCCTTTGACACCTTGGTCCCACTTAACCACTCCTGCCCCTGATGGGAGCTAACCAGACCCACCTGGCTGGGCACCTTGGCCACGTCTCTCAGCTGGGCTGCCAGACCCCATCAGCCGTGGCCATGGTAATTAGTGTGTGGTGCGAAGGCCACACGCAGCACAAACCTCAGGGCTAGTTTGTTCTTTCAGCGTGAGGAGTTTGAGGCTGGGTTTTAGGTGTCTTCCCAACCTCCCTACAGCCTTGGATCGGAGCGGATTTGGGGAAGGCAAAGCCCCAGGTGGAGTCTCATCGGTGATACTGTGTATAGGGGTCTGTCATGGACATCACCGCTGGACAAGGGAAAGGATAAGAAACAGATTTAGATGAGGTTTGAGACATAATCACATCGAACCACACTAAACTGTCACACATCATGACCTTCTCTCCTTCCCCATCATGCTGCAACTTGTCTGTGAAGCTGGGGAGTGGGCTCTGCTGAGCTGTATTTAAACATCATTTCCAAATGACTCTCGGGGCCCCTTCTGCTGCCCTGGAGCCCGACAGAGGAAAAAAACAGGCGGTAACTGGGCAAACTAGGTCTGCCTGTGTATGATCTGGATGCAACGTTCTTTTTTCAATGCAATGGCATAACATCCTCGTGGCCCTGCTAGTCTGATACCGGGGGTGACTAATGCAGGATAGTCCCTAAGCTTGAGTACAGCCAGCGCCTTTCCAAGCGACAATTACAAAAGAAAGGCAAAAGCTTTGAGACAAGGGGATTACCCGAGACGCATCTATCTGGAGCTCTGTGTCTGTTTGTCATGTGATAACCGGGTATACTGTATCCCCTGGGTATTGCATCTTGCTGGGGGTATTACGTGTGGCTCATGTGCTCTGTCCCCGCGTAGGTTGGCTACGTACACCCCTCAGCTGTGGGGACCCATCCATGGGTACCGTATGGAGCCCCACGTGCTGCGTTGGGTTACATAGTCCATGGCTTGCGCTTCCTCTGTACACTTTGGAACATTTTCACAGTGCCAGGGGTCCAGGCTCTGGCATTTTGGGGACCCGAAGAGCTTGTCTCTCATCTCCCCAGCCCTGCTCTCAGTATGCAATGGCCATTGTTTGCCTTTGGGGCGGGTGAGCAGCCTCTGGCTTGGGAGGAACAAAGCCTGGAGCCAGCTCCTGCAAACAGAAAACATGCCTTTTTATCACTTCGTGACAAATTGGTTTGTCAGCAGCAGGAAGTGATGTTGCTGCTGTACTCACCAAGGGGAAACTCCTCGCGGTTTCCATGGGGATGTATGCAACTGTAGAACTACAGGTTTATATAAACAGAAAGCCCTACGCACGCCCGCTGTGTGCTGGGTTTCTAGGGGTCTTGGACCAGATACAAGGGGCAGGGTCTCAGCCAAGCCCCACTAGCGCAGGGGGACAGCCAGCTCATGTTGGAGACAAAGAAAACAGGAGTTCAGCGCTGTAAACCACGGTGAACCGTGTGCCTTGATATCCCAAACAGCAAAGCAGGGAGAAAAAATGAGGGGCAAGAAGGGAAAATGCCTCCCTAACACAGCCGCAGCAGGCAAAGTTCAGCTCAGCCGTGTTGCTAAGGCGTCCTTAGCTCTGCCAAGCATGGACTATGCCCCAGCCCCTTCCAGCTCTGCCCTTCCCAGCCCTTTGTGCCTCCTTGCCTGGCTCATACCTCCTGCTCTGCCCCCCCACTTCGCTGGCCTCCCTGCTCCTTCCCCCTGTTCCCAATGAACCCCAGAGCTGAGTCCATCCGTCTTCCCAAAACTGTGGCACTGAGGTGACATGTAGGTCTCTGATCTCTCTTATGATTCACTGTTGCTCTTTCCCCCTTATCTTCTTGTTGAGACCAGGAGCAGTTTAGGATCTAGGTGTGATCCTGTCCAGAGAGAGTCTGCAGGAATCACAGAAGGCCAATGGCATCCTGGCTTGTAAAGGGACTCTGTGGGCTCTGGGCACCATCAGATTCTGATTATGATAAAGACTTGGAAAAGGATCTTGCGAGCCCACAGAGCTGGAAGCACCTGCCGGTGTCCCGCTGGGACCGAAGCCCTGCTGGTCCCGCTGGCTGGCTTTTCCCCAATAGGCTTTGTGCTGAAGCAGCTCTCTTTTGCACCCCTCTGTCAGGTGCCTGCTTAGGTTATAAAAGCTGATCGGCTGCCAGGTAATGAGTTTTATTGTTCCAAGAAACACATAAACAAGCTCCCCCGGCTGACGGGGAGCGGATTTCTGTTTGAATTGCGATTAACAGGCGGGATTTTTTTTTTTTTTAATCAGTTGCATGGCCAGGGCTGCCAAGGTTGTATTTTTCCACTGAACAAGCTCTGCTTTGCTTTGAAGGTGAAACTTTGTTCCACCGAACACTGCAGGTATAAAAAGGCTCACCTATTCAGAAACAACCATGCACACTTTATAGGGAGAGCAGTGGTAGGTGCAATCCCACAGAAAACTCAACCTGCCAAGGGGCTTCCCATGGACTAAGGGGTTTTACAGGATTTGCAGCATGGGACAGACTTTGGGGAGGAATAATTCATTTTGAGGTTTATGAACGACTTAAGGAAATAAGGGTTTCTAACTTCGTTTCTTAGTGCCCAGGGATCTTTCCTCCTTTCAGCTGCTCCATTTTTTTTTTATCCCTCAGTGTCAGGTTGAAGCTTGGCGATGGCTGACGCGCAGTGCTGACGACAGAGCCGTGTCGGAGGGGTAGCTCACGTGGAAGAATTTCAGACACAGCAGTGCATCATCCCACCCTTCAAGGGCACCTTCTCCCGAGAGAGGAGTCCTGGATTTTAGCACCATTAATATTCCAGGTACCTTGCAGGATTTCAGCATGACTTTGTGGTGCTTTGCTTGTCTCCAGTTACATGACAAGAGCACAGCTGCTTTTTACTTAAAAAAACCCTCATCTGTAAGCTCAGAAACGTAACTGTTAAAATGCCTTGATTTTACACCAAGTCATAACCTGCTGCATCTGCCCAAGCAAAACTATTTTTGACAGGGCAAAAGCAGGGTCTGATTTCTTAAATATCATAGATGCAAGGACTAGTGTATCCTTTCTGGAGCAGATGTAGGACACCCAATGTCCCAGTGTTCCCACAGAATCCAGCTCCCTGTCACCAGTGTTACTACCCTTCCTGGGAAAGCAGGCTTCCACCGGCACCTCTCCCACATCAACCTCCCCTGGTCAGGGTACATCACAGCAACACTGCTCCTCCCATGCACATCCTGCCCCACACACCCCATGGATATGTGCAGCTCTGCCAAACCACACGGCATTAACCCTGATGTGTTTGCTGCCCATCACCCTCACCCTGCTGCTCCCGCTGAGGAGCTCACCTGAGTCTTGCTGGTTACCTGATCTCTTGTTATGCCCCATTTGTTTACAGAGATTGCCCTGCAAGCCAAATACTTCACTCTAAGCAGTTCAAGTTGCAAAAAGGAAATCAAGGAGTTGGGACAGAAAAAGAACATACTTTGGCACAAACTCACTATCACTGGAGATCTGTTACCAACAGGTTAATTTTTAGACTTAACCTTTGAAGCATTAAAGCAAACAAGCAGTAAGGAAGCTTCTTCCTTCCTAGGAGGAGGACTATTTTAAAATCACTGTACCCTTGTGTCCAAGCCTTGGGTGGTTCAAACTTAGAGCTCTGTGGCCATCACTGCAGCCAGCTTACAGGTGAGAATCCAGCCATGGCTCTTTGCCACTGCACGTAATTATATGGGGACAAAGAGCCCAGGTTAAGCAGCAGCTTCTAGTCATTGTTTAAACCCATTTTCCTATCTAGTTCAGTCAAGACCTGAGGTCAACAAACAGTTGGAAATTCACATTTCTCTTGCAGCACTTCACCTAGGAGCTTCCACAGGGAGTTTGGGTCTAAAATGCAAGATTTTAAATAATTATCATCCAGCTCAATAGAAATATCATAATTTATTCTGTTTGTATAAAAAAGTTAATCATGTAACAAAACTATGTCTTCATAAGAAGAAATATATTATTTCACATCATAAATAAATCAAACATATAACCCTTGGCAACTCAAAAAAGCACTCGCCTGGTGCTTTCACGTCAGTGCTTGGGAAACAAGAAGAGCTGACAGATATACATATACACACAGGATTACAGTACCAAAAAATCTGAGGTATTTGGTTTCTCTAGAAATGAAACTTTTGGGTTTGTGAAGGCAAACAATGCACTAATGTAAAAAATAAATAAATAGGACTGTCATATAAAAGGGGACAGCATCAGTGTTGCTCAGAGTGTCCAGGAATGGGAATACTGGTGAGCATGCTACTAAACATGGAGCAGGCTTAGGACAGACAGAAGACAAGGAGGAACAGCTCAGGAAGAGACAGCGTCCTTTGATCTCTGTGTAGACAACCAGATATTGGCTTTTAAAGTCAGCAGAATAGTCAGCAGCACCTAGTTCTCTGGCATCAGGTGAGCTCCTCTCCATTTAGGACACTGTTCTGGGACGCATGGGTGGTTCCTCACAAAACATGGGTGACTTATGACACTGTCCTCGTAGTTATTGCACTTCTGAGACAGCAAGTCTGAGTTCTGACCATATTTTCACCTGCTTTTCAGCAGCTTGGGGAAGTGGTGATGGGGCTCTGAAGGTAGTTTAAAGCACTGGATGAGGTGTGAACAGGGATGGAGACTGGAAAGTTAAAGACTGTGGTGGTCGATGCTCCTCTGTCCAATACTGACATAGCAGGGCTACCAGCTTCTGCTGAGCAGTTGGGGGCAAGGACCTGCGACTCAAACTGAAGCAGCTGCCCCATGAAGCTGAAGTTGGGGGAAATGATGCTTCTCCTCTGCTTTACAAACTCAAAGGCTTCATCCAATTTGACTCTGTTGGTCCTCATGAGATAAGCGAGGCAGATGGTTGCTGACCGGGAAATGCCAGCCTGGCAGTGCACAAACACCCTTCCTCCTTCGTTTTTAACAGAGTCTGAAAGAATTAAAGTACACAGTTAGCAAACAAGTCCCGCTGCTTCCAGAGGTGGGAAGCTGGTTTACATTTCTTTAATCCATCCCTTCCTTCCCCTAGTAGGTGCACCCAGTTCTTTTCAGACAAAGAGCCTTTGTCCTGAGGGAACCAGCAGTCTAGCTATTTTCATTCTGGGCTCCAATTCCAATTATACTAATAGCTCCTCCAGGTCACTTTAGCAGTCTTGCAAGATTAGTTTAACACTGATCCGCTTAAATTCACTAGCTCTTTTCTGCTAGACCAGTGCCTCTTGATTTAAGATTTCAGACAAAGTGAAAACAAGATTATTCCTCTGAGTAGAATAAAATTAATGGAAATGTCCCCAGAGCATCTCTCACCTACAGAATAAGATTCCCTAATCTCAAGTGTGGGTTTTACTGGGGAAAACAACGCCCAAAAATCATTGCCCAAGGGTACGTTACCCCAGAAAGAAAACGGACCGCAAGGAGAGCTCATTTACCTATGAAATCAATCGCCTCGTTAAACCAGGAGCTGATATCTGCCTTGTGGTTGTCCTCCACGGGGATACTTTTATACTGGTAGTGCCCTTCAAAGTGGTTGGGGCAGTTCGCCGAGACATTGATTAACGCCGTGATCCCCAAAGCATCCAGCATGTCTTTTCGGGAGGCATGGTAAGCGCTGCCCAAGTAGAGGAACGGCAGGATTTCCACGGGCCCACCCTAAAACAAAGGACAGACAACGGGTTAGCCTCGCTCGGCAGCCCCCGGGA